TCTGATGTCTCGCAAATTAATTCTGAAGTAAGGCGTTACATATTATTTTGCCTCTTCCCTATTCAAATATGTAATTATTGAAGGTTTAACTGTGAACATATATTTATATACATAAACATAGTATATACACGGAGGGAGCTGATAGCTACAGATTTAAGGAAAAATGGAAATTAATATAGTACTTTAAGTGGGATTTTCTCCTTATAGTTACTGGGCAGAAATAATGAAGAAACTACCTGACCCTCTCCTAGACATTGTTCATTGCTTTTGTGTCCAACTTGACAGTGCTTTGTTTATTTCTCTTATTATATTGCATTTATCCTATGGTATTAAAATTGTTATTTCTTAAATGTTCTGACATTCTTGCTAGAAATTATGAAATCTTTGCAAGTACTCTGGAAGTTAGCATAATGTGTGGTGTATCTTAGATGTTTAATAGATATGGAGCACATAGATGAAACAGAACATTTGAAAACTCAATTTAAAGAGGTTATAATTAGAAAATATAAATTTTATGCTCTGCAGTTTGGGATTATTAATAGGTTAGAATGTAGAAGGCGCTATTCAGGTAAAATGTGAGTAAGCAGTGTTTTTTTAATCAGAACTAACTTCTGTAGAAATATATATATATATTATTTTCTGTTAACATTTTAATGTATATTCAGTTATATTCTTTTAGATACAATCTCCCTATTAAGTTTCTTTAATAACTTCCTTGAATTAGGTTATTGGGATGAGCCATATGAAATTACTCATATTCATCTATTTTTAAATTAAAACATGGCAATTTCATATGCTTCAATCCAAACATTCAAGAGAAGATAGGTTATGAGATGTGCTGCTGTATTTAGTATTTTCAAAAATTACTAAATCCATATCCCAATATATTCTAAGTTCACCAGCAGCTATTGTATGATGTCTCAACCACTAGTCTACTTTGCACTTCCGTTGTTTCTTGACACATCTTATTCCTGGCTTATGTATTGTAATTTGGATAATTTATTTTTTAGTTTTGTTTTTGACACATAATAACTGCAAATTTTGGGGTACAGTGTGATGTTTCAATACATGTATACAATATACAATGATCAAGTTAGTGAAATTAACATGTCCATCATGTCAAACGTTTATCATTTGTTTGTGGTGAGACCATTCCAAATCTCTTTGAGCTATTTTCAAATATATAATAAATTATTGTTAACTAATATATAATACTGTTAACTGTAGTCACCCTACTGTGCATTGAACACTAGAACTTATTCCTCCTAACTGTAACTTTGTACTCACCCACTTTGACCACTGCTCCCCATTCTCCTTTCCCCTACCCTTCCCAGCTTATGATAACCACTATTATACTCTCCACTTCTGTGATATTTGTATTTCTGTGCCTGGCTTATTTCACTTGACCTAATGTCCTCCAGGCTTATGCGGGTTGCTACAAATGATAGAATTTCATTCTCCTTTATGAATAGTATTCCACTATGTAAATATACCACATTTTCTTTCTCCATTCAACCTTTGATGGACACTTAGGTTGGATTCCATATCTTGAGTATTGTGAATAGTGCTGCAGTAAACATGGGAGTACAGACATCTCTAACATACTGATTTCTTTTTTTTTGGATATATAATCAGTACTAGGATTGCTGGATCATAGAGTAGTTCTGTTTTTAGTGTTTTGAGGAACCTCCACAGTGTTCTCCATAGTGGCTGTACTAATAATATACATACCCACCAATAGCGTACAAGGGTTCCCGTTTCTCCATATCCTCACCAGCTTTTCTTATTTGTGGGGGCGAGGGGTTGAGTAATAGCCATTCTAACTGGGGTGAGATGGTATCTCATTGTGGTTTTGATTTGCATTTCCCTGATGATGTTGGGCATTTTTGCATATATCTGTGGCTATTTTTATGCAAGTTTTGAGAAATGTCTATTAAGATTTTTTGCCCATTTTAAAAATTGGACTATTTAGTTTTTTGTTGTTGTTTTGCTGCTGAGTTGCTTGAGTTAATTATACATACTGGGTGTTAACTTATCAGATGGGTGGCTTGCAGATATTTTCCCCCATTCTGTGGGTTGTCTCTTCACTCTTGATTGTTTCCTTAAGTTTGATGTAATCGTGTTTGTCTATTTTTGCTTTTGTTGCCTGTGCTTTTGAGGGCTTACCCAACAAATTCTTATCCAGACAATGTCATGAAGTGTTTTTCCCCATATTTCCTCTAGCATTTTCAGTTTCAGATTGTATATTTAAGTCTTTAATCCCTTTTGAGTTGGTTTTTGTAAGTGGTTAGAGGTAGGGGTCTAGTTTCATTCTTTTGCATGTGAATATCCAGTTTTCCCAGCACCATTTCTTTTCCTTTTTTTGTTTTTTAGCACCATGTTTTGAAGAGACTATGATTTAGATAACTCATGAGGATTGTGTATAAATGAGGACTAAAAGAAGGGAGCTGAAAAGTAATCAACATTAGAGAATATATCAGCTGTATAACGTGTAAATGAGAGACGTGACATATAGCTGAATTTTTCATATAGCTAAATATGTCAAAATGAATTCTAGAAGAATATTGCTTTTGAGATGTTTTCTAATTCTAACAAATGAAAAATTAGGAAATTTATTATTTAAGATGATTGATTTGGTTTACAATACTTTGCATAATAGTAAATGTGGATTTTTGTATTTTGTTATCATGATTGAGGCACGGATTTTTGATTTTAAGACAGGGTCTTACTCTGTTGCCCAGGCAGGAGTGCAGTGGAATGATCATGGCTCACTGTAATCTCTGCCTGCCGAGCTCAAGCCATCCTCCCACTGCAGCCTCCCACATAGCTGGGACTCCAGGTGCGTACCACCACTCCCAACTAATTCTTCATTTTTTTGTCAAGATGGGGTTTTGCCATGTTGACCAGGCTGGTCTCAAACTCCTGATCTCAGGCAATCCGCCTACCTCGGCCTCCTAAAGTGTTGTGATTACAGGCGTGAGCCATCACACCCAGCCAGGTACTAGTAGTTAATATAAGCTCTCTCTCCAGCTTTGTTACTGGAGAGAAAAGGAAAAAATAAAATAAGTTTTCACAAATAAGCCCAAATACATTTGAATACTTTTATTATAGAAAATGTATCATTAATCTTGATGAAGAAATGATTTTTCAATGCTCAATGTTAGGACCACTAATTAGATTTTAGAAATAAGAAGAAAGCTGGAAACCTTCTTATTACCTATGTTAAAATAAACTTCAGATTGATCAGAGATATAAATATGAAAAGTAAAACTGTAGAAGTATTAAAAGACTAGAGGAGTACAGGGGTTGTGGTATGACAGAAAGCCTCAAATATATGATGTTAAAGCTAGGGTCTGTGCAAGAAAAGTTTACCAAGTTCATCTAATAAGAACTATAACAATCTTCAATAGCCAAGGTTATTAAGTAATACACTAGGGTAACTATTTTTGAGAGGCTAGGCAAAACATTAATTTTCTTAATATACAAAAAGCCAAAAGGTAACGGGTATTAATAGACACTTTACCAAAAAAGATGTGAAAATAACCAATTAAAATATGAAAAGATGTTTAATCACTTTCATGCCAAAGAAATGCATTTAAAACAAGAGTGAGATTTTATTTAGTTGATTAGCTAAGATTAAAATTTGTATTATACATCATATAATGATATATATGGTGAATATATGGAAATGGAGTCACTCTCCTTCACTGTTGTTGGCAGTCTAAATTAGGGTAACATTTTGAAAGCCAATTTTGGCAGTATATAGCAAAACAATAACATGTAGAAAGTTGTTTACCCAGCCAGTTCACATGAACAAATTTATTCAAAATGGTATATGTAATGATAAATGTACAAAAATGATCTTTGCAACATTGTCTAGCAAAATACCTAGAAACCTCCATGTTTAGTCATAGGCTGCCCATTACATTAATTATGGTACTGATTGTTCAATGAAATACAGTGTAAGCATGTAAAAAATGAGAAATACATACGTATTTAAATATGGTGTATTGGTGAGAAGCATTACGTGGGCTAACACCATGCATAGTATCAACTCATTTTTTTGTAAATTTGGAGATAAATACTTTTCCTTTTTACATAGAAAGTTTTAGGGAAAATGCATGAAATATTCAACAGTGATTATGGAAAAGGAGTGAAAAAGGACAAAACCTGGCACAGAGGAGATAATATTTGCATTATGCTTTTTTGTCTTACTAAATATTAAAATTCTCCTCTCATGTTTAACCTTATTATTTTAGGCCAGTATACCCAGCAGAAGAATTAGAAGAAGAAAGTGTTACAGAAGATGATGCAGAATTAACATTAAATAAAGTGGATGAAGAATTTGTGGTATGTGTGTAGCTGAACTTTCTGTTCATCTTCACCTTTAGGCCCCTTTCCATTCTCTTAATTTCCCCCAGACTTCCATTATCAGGAATGTATTTTATGTCATTGTTTCTAAAAATGAAAAGCTTTTAAATACAGTACTAAGTATTGTCATTTAGACCGTTAGTTAAGTTAATGTTTGTATTCTCTAATGATTGAGGTCTGAATTTTAGCAGAGGTTCTTAAACTGTTCATGGAAATATATACCATTGGTTATATGAGTAAATACTTTATTAACAACCATTCATGATCTTAAATAGACTGTGACTAATAAAGAGTTTTAAACAGAACAATATAATTGAGGATTAATACATTCTGCTTTATATGAATACTGTTCATTTCTAAGGAATTCCTTTATTCATCTGCAATTAGGATGAGTAGGAATTTTTTTTAAATGCTTTTAAATAATCAACATTATTTAAGTTGTTTGGCAGAATCTGGACCTTTTTACATGCTTCACATATCATCCATAGTGTGAATCTACAGATGACAGAGACAAAAGAACTTTTTCTCAAGATAATTCTCAGAACTAGAATTAGATTGACCCTGGTATTTTAGGAAGTGTACCTGTGATCTGAAGCAGAAATGGTGAGGGAAAGAAACCAACTTTATAGTATACAGCTGACCCTTGAACAATGTGGGGGTTAGGGGGCATTGGCCCCGACACAGTTGAAAATCCACAGTCTGGGTGCAATGGCTCATACCTGCAGTCCCAGCACTTTGGGAGGCTGAGTTGGGTGGATCACCTAAGGCTGGGAGTTCGAGACCAGCCTGACCAACATGGAGAAACCCCATCTCTACTAAATATACAAAAAAAATTAGCTGGGCATGGTGGCACATGCCCGTAATCACAGCTACTCAGGAGGCTGAGGCAGGAGAATTGCTTCAACCTGGGAGGCAGAGGTTGCAGTGAGCTGAGATCATGCCATTGCACTCCAGCGTGGGCAGCAAGAGTGAAATTCTATCTCAAAAAAAAAAAAAAGAAAAGAAAAGAAAATTCATGTATATCTTTGGACTCCCAAAAACTTTACTAATAGCCTACTGTTGACTTGAAGCCTTACCAGTAATGTAAATAGTAAACACATATTTTGTAAAGTTATATGTATTATATACTGTATTCTAACACTAAGCTAGAGAAAAGAAAATGTTACTAAGTAAGTCATAAGGGAGAGAAAATGTATATACTATTAAGTGGAAGTGGAGAATCATAAAAGTATCTTGCCTGTCTTCATATTGAGTCACCTAAGGAAGAAGGGCAAGAGGTTAGGTTGGTCTTGCTGTCTCAAGGGTGGCAGAAGTGAAAGAAATTTGTGTTTAAGTGGACCCATGCAGTTCAAACCCATGTTGTTCAAGGATCAACTATATTTTGCTGTCATAAACCAATTAAAATTTTAGATGATTTTTTAAATCAATAGAAAATTAGTTTAAAATAAGTTATTAAGTAATTGAAGTTTAGCATTTAGGTTAATATAGCATTTAAGTTAGTATATGCTATAGAGGTTTTAATCACTGCATAATTTTAATAGCAAGTGCTGAAAAATAACCATTAAATAGATTAGATGCTATCTGAATAGAAAATTATATAGCCATTTATATTAGTCCATTTTGTGTTGCTCTAAAGGAATGCTTGAGATGCTGGGTAAGTTATAAAGAAAAGAAGTTTATTTTGGTTCACAGTTTTGCAGACCATACAAGAAGTGTAGAAATGGCATCTGCTTCTGGTGAGGGCCTCAGGAACCTTACAATTGTGGTCAGACAAAGTGAGAGCAGGCATCTCACATGGCCAGAGAAGGAGCAAGAGACAGAGAAGGGAACATATATCCAAACTATACCATTACAAATTGTTGAGTGGGCATGCTGACCCATACCTGTAATATCAGCACTTTGGGAGAGCCTCCGGCAGGAGGATTGCTTGTGGCCAGTTTGAGATCAATGGGCAATAGTGAATCCTCATCTCTGCCAAAAAAATGAAACAAAACAAAAAAAACTGCCATGTGTGGTGGTGCATACCTATAGTCCTAACTACTGAGGAAGGTGAAGTGGGAGGATCACTTGAGCCCAGAAGTTTGAAGCTGCAGTAAGCCATGATCATGCCACCGCACTACAGCCTGAGTGTCTCTATTAAAAAAAGTTTACAAAGAAATGTTATTGACATGGGAATGTAACTTATACTCTGCTGTATGCTATAAAATTAACTGAGAGGATTCCAGATTTTATGTTATTATGATATTAATTATGTAAAATATGTTTAAAATTATTATATTAGCATTAATTATATATGGGTAGAAGAATTAGGGATGATTGTTTTCTATGCTTTGTATTCTTAAGGTTTTTAACATGTATTTTTTAGCAGCAATGTAAACATTATTTAAATAATATGAAAAAAGATGACTGTTACAGTTAACATTATTTAAACAATATATGTAAAAAAAAGTTGATGGTTTTTTAAGGTTTTTAACATGTATTTTTTAACAGCAATGCAAACATTATTTAAACAATATTTGTAAAATACGATGACTATTACAGAAGGAAAAAGACCATCATAAAACTTAACAATTTAAAAGATTTTTTGAATGTGATCAATTTTAAAAGTCAAGACAGATATATATATATATTCATTCTGCATATACGTATTGAGCACGTGCTACTAAGCAGGCATTGGCAAGGCCCTGGCTGTGTAGCATGTGCCAAAGCTTTGAAGGCAGGAAGAAGCTTAGCATGATCAAGGATCTAAGAGTAAACTGCTGTGGCCAGAGCTCCTGAGTGAATGGGAGGGTGACATAAGATTAACTGGGGAGACAGACCAAGTTCAGATTGCTTGGGCATGAAAATTAGTTTAGACTTTATTCTTTGTATAACAGATCTTTCCATTCAAGCTCAGAAATTAAGTACTCATATATTTCCAGTTCACCTCATTTATTCTGCTCAGGTTCAACTCATTTATTCCCTCCTCTTGTCTTCTTACTAACTATTTAATAGTTATGAATAGTTTATCGACAGATACCTGGTCCTAGTACATTAACAAAGTACTTTAACATTTAACTTCAAAGGCATATAACTCAAAACTGCTAGTCTGGGGAATAAAGGAAAACAAACCCACTAGTCAGGAGAAAAATATCTGCGAGGGCAGAAACCATGTCTAATTTTTCTTACTGTGTGTCTCCCGCTTATTGTGCAGGGCCTGGTGCATAGTATATATTCATTAAATATTTGACCATAAAATCAAACTGTCAGCACATCATTGTGTTACATTTAGAAACTATAGCTCATTTTAAAGTTAGGAAACCTTTAAAGTTCAAGGTGCCATTATTGGGAGTGTGAATTTAGAGAAGTATACTGGAAAGCCACCTCCTCACACATTTCTTCCCAGCCATGAGGTGAAGACCTCCTCTATCATAAGAGCAAACTGAAGGCCTTCCTCAAAGGGGTTGGCCCTGTGGCTGTTCATTCCCTTGCATAATGTCTCTTGAATTTCTTTTCTTCTTTATTGTCATCATATTATTCTAAGGGGTCCTCTGTTACTTCTATTCCTCTCTCTAAGGAGGACTGGGTCACCACCTAAAAGCCTGTTGATGGTGGGATGTTACTTGATTCTGTTGTCTGAGTTTGTGGCGTTGCTCAAGGATGGTAAAGGTTGGCCAGGCGCAGTGGCTCTCACCTGTAATTCCAGCACTTTGGGAGGCCGAGGTTACCAGATCACTTGAGGTCAGGAGTTCGAGATTAGCCTGGTCAACATGGTGAAACCCATCTCTACAAAAATACAAAAAGTAGCCAGGTATGGTGGTGCGTGCCTGTAGTCCCAGCTACTCGGGAGGTTGAGGCAAGAGAATTGCTTGAACCTGGGAGATAGAGGTTGCAGTGAGCTGAGATTGCACCACTGGGTGACAGAGCAAGACTCTGTCTCAAAAAAAAAATGATTTCTGACAGTCAGAGCTCTGCTATAATCATCTAGAAACTAGTAACCTTCAATTTCGGACTGCTCATATTAAGCTAGGACACAATAATTATTTTTATAAATATGTTGGTCATAACAATACATTCCCACCTGTTGTATGTAATCATATCCATGCTAATTGGCAGTCAGAATTAAGAGGGTTTATTAGACAAATAGGAAATTTTTGAGTGCCTTCTGAATTACTGAGATTAGAATCCTAATATATTCTAATAGTTTGAAAAATAATTTTCTAATCCTGCTTACATTTGAATTCCTCTTTAGTGCTCTCAATAATACTTAGTAACTTAAATCCTTTTTCTGTGAATTAGTTTGGGTTCTCCAGAGGAATAGAAGTAATAGGAGGTACACACACACACACACACACACACACACACACACACACACACATGCACACACACACACACAAGACTAAGGAATTGGCTCACATGGTTATGGAGGCTGAGAAGTCCCAAGATCCATAGTTAGCAAGCTGGAGACCCAGTATAGGTGATGGTAGTTTCAGTTTGAGTCTGAAGGCCTGAGGACTAGGAGAGCTGAGCTGATAGTTTGTTTCAGTCCAAGTCAGAAGGCAAGTGAAGGCTAATGTCTTTAGTAACAATGAGGCAAAGACAATAAATTCTCTTTCTCAGCTTTTCTGTTCTGTTCAGGCTTTCAGTGGATTAAATAAAACCCATCCACATTGATGATGGCAATGTGCTTTACTCAGTCTGCTGATTCCATTATTATCGCATCAAGAAACACCCTCACAGTCACACTCTGAATAATGTTTAACCAACACCAAAGAACCTCGTGGCTCAAATTGACATACAAAATTAACCACCAAAAGTCGACCCTTTGTCAACTTAGCTCTCATATACAACTTCTTAAACTATAATCTTCAAATAAGGACCATGCATAGCAAGGTCATCGTTTCATCCAATGGAATGTGACTGTTCTGCATACAACAGATATTGGTGTAATCCCAAAGGATAAAAAGTTAGTTCATAAGTGATGTTTACTTCTCCTTGATAGCACCTAAATATTATAATGTAAAAGTAACAATACTTAAATACTATGATGTAAAGTCAGTACATCTTAGGTTACATGATAATGGAGTAAGAGAGTAAGGAAAACAAAAATACAAACATATTCATAAGAATTAGGAAATATTCATGACAATCACTGCTCATTTCTGTAACTGGTCACATGCTTGTAGTTAGTGTTTATAACTACCATCTTTCACTACCTATTCTGTATTCCCTCAGCTGGTTATCACTCTTTACCTGGTGGGGTGACTCAAACCTTTATTCCTGAAGGATCTGGGCCATTAATTAGACCTGCCTGGATTTGGTGGTTGTAGTTTTCTGTTTACTTTTAATCACAGGGTATGGTAATACCATGCCTTAAAGGATCATCCTGTATTTAGAATACTCTTCTTTCCATTCTGGAGTAGTCCAATGTCCTGTTAATAGGATCAGTCATGCCAGTCAGTATAGTAATTACCTTCTTTGCTATGTTGATTCAGAGGTTTGAGGAGCCCAAAGTGGCCAGGTGGTAGTCTTAACTTCCTGTTCAATCAAATCATTGCTGAATAATCTCCTGGTTGAAGAATTCTTCCTTTTGGAACTCAGACTTCTAGGCCAGCAAAGCATAAGATAGGAACAGGAAGCAAGAATTTTGCTAGCGGGCTTCTGGGGGTAACAGCAAGTGGTTACACTCTCATTCCCATCCCTTGATTCCTGGACCTGTAAATTCTGGCTGTGGGAGAAATAGCACCTATCGTGGTTGCTGATTAATTCTAGTACCTACCATTAAAGCTTTTTACTTATTAGTGTTCAGTCTAGTATAGTTCAACAAATATCTATTGATTGCCTATGTAAACAGCACTGATCAAGCTATTGTAAAAGCGTTACAAACTTGTCTCTTCTCCCATGAGCATTGAATCATTGGCATTTCAATCATTTACTCTGGTTATTAGGTAGACTCTTACTAGTGCAAAAACAGACTAGACCAAGCCATTTGTCAAAAGTGTATACCTTTGCTTCTGTTTTAAGTTACAAAGTGATCACTTTTGTCTGCACTTCTGTCCTGCTACCCCACCCTAAAAAAAGTAAATGTCACTTGAGTGTATGGAGTCTATATTTATATTGTTTCCTGTTTTACTAAAATCTTTCTGGTTCTCCAAGGTTTAGCATAGTTCTCATACCTTACCTTAGTTGTTCCACCCCTATAGTTTCTGAGGAGATATGGGATAGAGCCTTAGAATTTCCATTCTAAGGAGTGCCTCTCAGAACCACCCTTGGAGAGCCCAGTATCTTATATATTTTCAAATTGTTGAGGATAAGGATTGTCTTTGAAATCTACAGCGTTGTACAATTCTACATATGGAAGTGTTCACCAACTGACATTTTCTTTTTTCTTTATAAGTTGATGACTTGAGGAGCAAGTTCCATTGGCTTCATTACCATGTCCTTAAGGTTGAAATATCCTTGTTAAATTTGTGTTACTATGTCACTTGTCACCACAGACATTATGAAGAAAAGGGGAGCTCGTGTTTTCTCCTACATGCTCACAGAACCTGCTCGGACTCCATATTTACTGCATATTGGAGAGAGAGTTGCTTCTCACAGGGTCACTTTCTACCCACACCACCCCCCCATATCCAATTGGTCTGCAGATTAGGATTAGCTTGGCATCCACCTAAACTATCCTTTTTAATAGATTTAAGTACCATGGGCCCACCAGTACTGCTAACCATGATTTTATCAAGCTTGAACATTGCAGAGTTGAGATGTCAAAAATATTTACCAATGTGATTGGTCCCTGGAGTAAGTGAGAATGTTCTGTGTCTGTCTACCTCTCATCTTTGTCCATTTCAGTCATATTGCTCAAAAATATCCATTAACTCCTATTAATGCCAAATACGCCAGCCACGTGGGTTTGTTTCCTGCCCTGTTTTTATATTTATCTGTAGTTCTCCAGCAGTGGCTCTGTTCTGTTCCCTTCCCGCAGTTTTTTTCCTTTCTTTAATGACTGCAAAAATGGTCCTAAATAAGTAGTAGTACTATCAAAACCTCAAAAAACACTCAAACTGTTAATAATATTGTGCCCTCCTTTATGCACATGTTCACGAGGCTTTTCAATATCCTTTTCTACACTAGTCTTTACATCAAGCTTAGTATAGCTTACTATAGCATGTAGGTGAAAACTGGAAATATATTTTTAGTTATAATTTTTAATAATTTTTAAAAAATTTGTTTCTATTTCTAAGGAAGAAGAGACAGATAATGAGGAAAACTTCATTGATCTCAACGTTTTAAAGGCCCAGACGTATCACTTGGTAAGTTTCATCAGATACATGCCGGACCAACAAGCAACCAATGTACATGATCTGCTGGAAATTTAAATGAGTAGAAACCGTTGTTGGCCATTGTTTTGTATGCTGTTTATAAAGTAGCTCTCAAAATTGCTTTCCTATATATAAAATGTTGTAACTATAGCAAATATAAAAATCCAAAGGAGAGAGTGAGGCAGCCTCCTCTCTATACCATGGAAAATTGACACAGTGCTACTTATGCAGACTAAAAATAATTTGGCTGGTGGCATTTTTTATTATGAAGAGATATCAAATATTCTATTTCAAGTTATTTTACATTTTAATGGGCCAAGATTTAATGATCTTGATTATAGGAAAATATTTAAATTATAGTTCTTTAAATAAAATGGATTGACTGGTAGTTATATGGATAAGTAATCAGACATTGCTTTAAGTCTGTTTCAATTATGAAATATAGTCTCTAAAAGTACATATTCAATGAGATATTTCAGATATTTATGGTATTTTTACATTTGCCATGTATATAATATATATACCATATGTTATATATTAATAAGTATACCTATTGCACCCTCAAAAAGTACATACGGAAAATAATACTGTTTTAGTCCTTTATTTAATTTTTCTGTATGAATCCTCAAAACAAGTTTGAATCTAGTTTTAGTTTCATATCATGAGGATTTTCTTGACTACTCCCCAAGATGATCTTTGTATTTATCATGCTAATGAGGATTAATAATACTAAGGCAGTATGGATGACAACTAGTTATTATTAATGACGCATATATGTGTGTGTGTTTTCTGCCCAACTTGAGATATAACGTGGTCAACTTGCCTGAGTCTATGACTTGACTCTAATACTTACTAGGATTCCACACTTGGGCAAGCTTCCAAACTTCTCGTGCCTTATCTTTTTAAACTGTAAATGAGATAAAAATATGACCTCTGCCATAGGATTTTTGAAAATTAAAAGAGTTACTGCATGTAAAGCGCCGTAATAATATCTGTCACATAGAAAGTACTCAGTATTGGCAAAAACCAAAACCACATCTTTTTTCCATATTCCCCCCTCTGAAATCTGATTTGTAAGCTCCTTGAAAACAGACATAGCTATCTTTTTTAATATTCCCCATAGTGTAACACAGAAGGTACTGAATAAATACCTCTTAAATGAATGAAAGTATCTTTTACTGATCAATTGAAAATTATATCAGAATAATATGTTAAAATTTAAATCTTAACTCTAGTTATATCAATACTGTACATTTGGCCAGGCGCGGTGGCTCACGCCTGTAATCCCAGCACTTTGGGAGGCCGAGGTGGGTGGATCACGAGGTCAAGAGATCGAGACCATCCTGGTCAACATGGTGAAACCCCGTCTCTACTAAAAATACAAAAAATTAGCTGGGCATGGTGGCATGTGCTTGTAATCCCAGCTACTCAGGAGGCTGAGGCAGGAGAATTGCCTGAAACCAGGAGGCGGAGGTTGCGGTGAGCCGAGATCGCGCCATTGCACTCCAGCCTGGGTAACAAGAGCGAAACTCTGTCTCAAAAAAAAAAAAAAAATACTGTACATTTGCAGATCGTTTTGTAGTTTTCAAGTACTTTAAAACACATTTCTTTACTGACCTTGTAAAGTATTTGGGTAGGTGTTATCTCCATTTTACAAATATAAACACTGAAATTTATAACCTTGGGACAGTTTAATCTTTTAAGAAGCTTATAAATCAAAGTACCCGAATTTAAACTGCTTCTCCAAACTCCAAGTCTATTACTTTTTCCTCTTTACGTCATAACAAGAGTTGAACAAGGTGTAGATATGTTTTGATTCCTGCCTTTAGCAAGTACATTGTAATGTGGGTGTTTATGTAATGTGTGTGTTGAAGATGTTGATGACAAAGTGCTCCTCAAGTATGAGAAGAAAAATAAAATAGAGATACACATAGTTATTCTTGGAAAGAAACTGTTGTTTGTGTCATTCATTCTTATATTGATGGTGTAAATAGAGAACTGTGAAGGCCACCTGGGATTCCTTCTGGACAAAGTAATTTAATGTGCTTCTGCCACTGTGCCAATTCCTTGTTGGTCCTGATTTCAATTTTTCATTTCAAACTACATGAGGAAGGGTTTTTCTCCAAATGGTGCTTTTGTAAATTATCTAAGTATTAGATTCGTTGGACAAAAATTCTATAACATATAACCTTTAGTGCTAAGACTATGTGTAGTTATATTTCCACAAGAGGAAGAAGCATGAACACCAGGTGTTTGTGGATGGTCAACCATGGAGTACTAATGAGGCAGAAAACCCTTTCATATTTTAAAAAACCTGGCAAGCTCATGATATTGCCCACTAAAGCCATCTGCCTGAGACAGCTGTGTCTGACTACAGCTTATGATGGTTCGGGCTGCTCTTTCCCCAAGACAAAATTGCTATATAGGTTAGTATCATAGATTTAAGATTTTATGTCTCATGCAGCAGGTGGACTTCACAATGCAGAGGAAATATTATTTTAGGAAAGTCGAGCATGATGAATTCTTCACTGGAACGATACATACTGTCAAGGAAAGTGACTTTCTAAATGTATATGTGACTGTGCAAGCCCAGCAGTGTATGGATTACAGCAGTCCGTCCCTGTCTATGGTTTTAAAACAATAAGATGTTTCTCCAGTCATTCTCTGTCGTCTCACCCTGCTTTTCACTTTTCCTCACAGACCCTGGTATTGCATTACGCTGTGTTAATTACTGATTTATTTTTTCTGTCGCAGCAACTAGCATGCGAACTCCTTTAGAGTAAGAGCTTTTTCACTGTTTTTTTCACCTGTGCCTTGTGTATAGAAGTTGCTCGATAATCAACGATATGGTATGAATACATGACTGAATGTGTGCCATTTTTGTATTGATAGTTTTATAGGCTATTTTCATAGTTTTATAGGCTATTTTCATAGAGAAAAGAATTTACCGACAATAATTATATCCTCTCCTGTGTACCACGTGGGATAGTCCAGGGAGAAATCTACCTATATTCCTTCCTTTCATTAAATAAAGTGATCTAGACCCTGAAAAGTGTGCTGTTTAAGTATCATAATAATTCCAAGACTTGAGCCTACACAATCACATTCCTGAGATTTGCAGTAACATGAAGTGAGAATGCAAATGAAAAAGACATGTCATAAGCAGGTTTGTGTTCTCTGGATGCACACACTGAGACAGTTTAGAGTGCAAAGTGTTTATTAGAAATAGACACGTGTGAAAGGAAGGGAGAAGAAAGCAGGATTGGGCAGAGGGAGAAGTCATGCTGCGATACAGGCCTGACAAAGATTGGCCAACCTGGTAGAACCGAGTTTTGCCTGCTTAGCTCACCCCCTGGAGGCCGGTTGCCCTGGGAAGGGCATACTCCCAGGTGAGATGGCTCTCTGCGGGAGCTGACAGCAAGAAGCTGTCTGCTGGCCATATTCCCTGCAGCTCAGCAGCAAGATCTTCCTTGAAAGAGGACCTGGTAACCCATCTTCCTAACGACCACAGCATAGTTGAAGCCTGTAACTGCCGACTTGAAGAATTTGTAAATAGATACCATCTGCCCATTGACTAAACTTTAAATGTCTGCCTAAGTGGACCATGACACAGCAGTAGTTCATGAACACTGAAAAAGATATGTTCCTCCTACTGATGAAGAATGCTTATATCACATTGGTTTGTTTTGGAAGGAGTTGCTTTTCAGGACATTTATCTGAGGTTTAAAAAACGTGAAGTCATTCTTATTGTGTGATTTTTTCCCCTCTAATTCCCTTACCCCAATTAAGATTTTGCCAACAACTGCAATTAGTGAGGCATTGCTTCATCTTCCACAATTTCACTTATAATTTAATTACTTGGGTTTTGAAATAGCTTTTCTGAGAAGGAAAGCATTATGAACAGATGTTAGACTTCAAGGCTAGTCCACAGAGTTCCCCATTCTGTATGTACCTCTCATTCCTGAGTATTCTTGAAATCTGAAATTTAGCCAAAGCTACCCTAAAGAGTGGCCACGAGAAAGGGCACTGGTGTGGAATTAACATTCTGACAGTTGGGCGGGGCCTGTGATGTTAGGAGTATAGTAGAATATTCCAGAGCTGTAGGGAGTGGGAGCAGGAAAGGAAGACTGGTGATGAGGTGGTAGCAAGGTGTGCTAGTAATTTCCATTTCTAATTTGCATATGTCAATTGGGCACTGCTTGCGTGTTCACAGTGGCTATGCTGTAATTACAAGTTGTCTTTGTGTCTCCCTTCACCATTGTGAAACTCAACAGAATCACGGAAACAGCATTCTGGCAGCATAATGCAGACATGTCATTCACCTCCCCCAGTGAAAAAAAGAGGAGAGGGAGCTATGCACTCTCTGAATTCTATTTTTAAATGCCCATCACTTCATTTCAAAACATTTTTTCAAACATGCCATAGATACTATTCTTTCTCGAGATGCTAAATTTGAGGTTTTGGAAACCAAATCCTGAGTTACGCAGCGTAAAACTAAGTATCTCAAAAGGCTTAAACACAGTTGGTTTTTAATTACTTAGCAAGAAATTCATTGTACCAAGTAGGAATGAAATACTTCAGCTTAAAAGGAAAAAGCTGAAAGGAATATGGGCTTAGAGTAAAAATGTCATTTCAGTTTTAGGTTAGAGTTTCATCTAGGCAAGACTGCAGTATTCTAATCAAAGAGAGGAAGAAGATGGATCTTTTTTGGTTAATATCTTAAATTTTCATTTTACATATATTTTATATTTTTCTTCTAGATAAAATATACTTTCTGAGTCATATAAGAGAAAAAACGGTTCTATGTATAGCTTACCCTATCAGTTGCCATTAATTTTTGATTCTTGCTTAAGGAGAATATTTTTTCTTCTGCTTTCCTACAACAGTTGAGTGTTAGGCGTCCTATCTGTGAGAGAAGTCTACAGTTGGTATTTCACAGGAGAAATTAAAATGCCACATGTTAGAGTGTGATGGAACAGATTATGACTGAG